GATGGGTTTATTAATCCCCGGCGTACCAAGTTCTTATCTATAATGGTCTTAGAAGTAACAATGTGAAATAGATTTTGCATGTTTATAATTGTCCACCCCAGAGGTAGCCTGTCTAATTTCAGCGTACCTAGCGTCTCTAGTGTGAACATTGCGTTCGGTTGCAAAATGCGGCCCTACAGGGTGTTAATGGTACCCTAGCAGAGGTTCTCTAGTGTTAACATTGCGATCAATTGCAGACGTCTACTGCAGCCAACCGGGCTAATTCTGACTTAAGGCTACAAACCAGTTCAGTTCAGTCAGTTCAATATCCTATCCTTCTCTATTGATTCTCAGGCAGGCTCAGAAGTGGATCGGTCTCACTGAGCACCTGCAACTGGTGCCAGTCGATACAAAATTTGGGACGGTAAAATGATGCGTCTTTGTTAGAAAAGAGATTAATAATAAAAATGAACGTGTATCATTTCGTATGCTCAAAAGTGTGGTGAGCCAATTAAAGGAAATACTTGCAAAGGAGTATAATTTAATTTATTTCAATAGATACTAAATAATTTAAATTAAAAAACATCAAACGTATGGATGACGCTGATTGGGGTTGAAAAGGGTAGATGTAGGAATAGGAACGTGTTATAGGGTAATATTCTTAAATATTCAACAATGAAGAGGAGGTATACCGTACTACCTTCAAACTGCTCACAGTCCACTCTCCTGGGCAGAACAGACACGTTCAGAGCCTCCACATCGCAATTATTACTGGCCAAATACAGCACAGTTACATTCTTGGACTCCTTGTTTAAACCATGAAACTATTCAATACAGTAAAGATTCGTTGTATGACCATTTAGTTTGCAACTGGTCTAAAGTAGGTGGTAAATTTACTAGATCCGTAAGTTACTATTGATATATAATAATGAATTTACATTGTTAACATTAGGACGCAGCAAATGGAGCTTTTCAGCATGTTAACTTTAACCCAAATAATGTCAAAAGTCGTGTCGAAATTCCTGTACCATTCATTTCCGATAACATTGAACAGGGTTCCATGAAAAAAGACTGGCGTGAACAGATGTACCAATTTGTCAAATCTAACAAGCAACGGAACATGAGAACGAATATAAAGCAACGGTACGTTGTCAAACAGCACTAGGGTTGTTGAAATACTGGGTGCAAATGTCAAAAAGTAATACAACAGACTGTCCTAGGTCGTTTGCAAATTCTCTCATTCTCAAAAAAAAAAAAAAAGCCTGTTCCTGCTTAGAATTTTAATCTGTACTTGTGGGCAATGATAAATGCACCCTGCGTTTCGGATGGTTTCCAGTGATTTCTGAGACTCACAGTGTGCTAATGCGAACTTCTTCACAGACTGTGGTAGAGGCAAGGAGACAGACCCAGTTTGGACGCTTCGATCCCCATTCTGGATCCAGCGGAACACGCCCGGATAAAGGATTAATTAACAGCCGAATTTAAAAAAAAGGTCTTGTAGGAAGTATAGACAGAGATGTTGTTGAAATGGAGCTTGGTTAGTTGTGTATTGAAACCATGGCTTAATTATGACACATTATCAATCAATCAATCAATTATTGCAGATTTGACTGAATGGCGTATACTTGTGGAACATATTGCCCTTTGGGTTAATATAATCAATTAGATGGAATATGAAAAAACTCATTGTTTACGCAGCTGATGTCATGCACCTGTAATCAGCATACAATATCGTATATTTAAGACCATCAGCTACGTAAGGGGTTATCCAACGCACACACACACAAAAAAAAAATGCTATCTTGTCACATGACTTGGTATCGGCCATTTGGAGAATACAGAACCATATCAAATGAATCTAAAACCCCCACTGCCAGTATTACAACTTGAAGCATACGTAACTGTACTGTACTGATATGAGTAGTCCAACAAATTAGCTGACAGCGAGGAGACAGGACCTCCCTATAGTGCTAGGTAGGACTATCAAGTGCCCTAGGTAAATAACCTCGATGTTCCCTTGCGAGTGACTTGCACCTGTACTTTTAACAGAATCTCGTTCTTTATCTTAACACGCGAAATCCTTTTTACGCTTGAATATCGTTTTACATAATAACAGTTGAACTTTAAGTCACGATATCTTGTAATAGAATGTTTTTTCTTTCGTTTGAAGAACTACTGTACACCACGAAATTGATAAATATTCTAAAAGTCAACTGCTAAGTGTCATATTTAGCTACATGTAAACTATTGTCATTTAAGTTTTTAAACATGCTCCACACCATCCCCAACTACCAGTATGCCTATTGATTTGATTATGTGTCTTGATATTGTTGAAAGTTTGCTGCAGAATGTTGCGCATTTTGGTGAAGTATGCCGCTATACAGATAGACTACATGTCCAGTTTCTCAGATTTCTGCAATTGTAGGCCATGTCTCAACTCTTACAGTCTCATCCCTTACAGTTGGTTAAAACTGTCATACTTTTTTCACTGTAAAAATACATTGTTTTACACGTATTTTAATTTATACCTTTGTTCTGTTAACGTGGACCAATCACGTAGAAAAAAGGTGCATGTTTTTTATGTTTATGATTTAAGCAGCGAGTTTTGGAAATATCTGCTCGATGTCTGAATAAATACTGTGACTTGGGAACCTGAATTCGTGCTATTGCGTCGTGGACATGGAAATCTAAAACATATGTTTTATGTCGAACCCAAATTTAGAGAGGACCAGAACATGAGGATTAATTTTCATTAATAAACGTGTTTTTTAATAATAATGATAAGAATGTCAGCACTGATACATTTTTATGCTGAATCAAACTCAGCCGTTCTCTCTTCAGATCTTGAGCTATCATTTAGGAGATACTTCATTTCGAGCACACCAATTAAAGCAAATTTGCGATTTGTATGATGCATCTGGAGGTGTTCGAATCAAATGCAACGTAACTTTATTCCATGTGGTATGCCTTTAGATCTCTCTTCACAAAGATTAAAATGATATTTTTATCACAAAGACTAACATTGGGTAAATCTTTCCCGCCTGCTCTCCAAAATATTTTCACTTGAAAAGTCAGAACACCAAAATATTTAGGTGTAAGTTTTTGCACGCTTCCTTAGATCCTCCGCCACCTGAAAATTCAGAGCACTGTAGATTTTTTTTTTTTTTTTTTTTTTTTTTTTTTTTTGCGTAAGTAAAATGAATTTAGACCTGAATTGAGATTCATGTTGAGAATAAAAAATACATGTATATAATAATGGAATACAGTAAAATGAAACGATCTTCTCCACAATAACATGACTTATCATCATATTTAAAAAACGGCTTCATTCTTGTGGAGTACAAATTCGAGGTGAGACCTTGCAAGTAAACAACACGTCACAATTTATCGACAGCCTAATATTGCATGTATTTTTCATTAACAGCAAAACCAGCCCTGATGAGATACCTATCCAATTAACATGCCGTCTTTAAACCATTAACATTTGTTCCGACGAGCGTTCCCCTTTACTATGAACTTAATCTGAGGTCATGTTGTTTTCTAACGGTTCGGTTTTTTGACAGTTGAGATATGATAACTTCCGCTGTGACTAAATATCAAAAAAAAGACGAAGGAGAAGAAGCACAAAATGTGTGTGTGTGTGTGTGTGTGTGTGTGTGTGTGTGTGTGTGTACTTGCAGAGGCCAGAGGAGGGGGTGTAAGACCAGGGATATGCAGCAACTTGGCTGTATCCCAAAATACAAAATGAAGTGCATTTTGAACCAAAACAAAATTCATGCCAAGACTGTCTAAATTATGAACAGAATTCTTATTTGGAAGCGCTCTTTTTTTTTTGTTTTTTGGCAATGCGAATAAGTGTAACCTGGGGCTCGGATACAGCCATTCATCTTCAACGCAATCTCTTATAAGGTGCATTGGTTTTATGATTGAGTTAAGAGCCGAGAAAGCACGGCACTGATGTTTTTTCTGTATTTGTGTTTTTTTTTCTTGTAGTTCAATAAACGAGGCTCTGGTGCTGCATGAACTCCCTTTTTTGCTCAACAGTTAATGTAATTATGTGCTTTGATATAAATAACGCCCTCAGGACGTGGTGAAGAAATAATCCAATAATACTTTAACTAATGTTCCCAGAGATGAACATACTTTTACATACGCGACTTCTTTGATGATACGAGTTTTGATGATTGCGACCAAATGCGACAGGTGAGACAAAAAAATTTAATCTGATATGATTTACCCTACTCATTATCTCATGCTACTACTATCTCAAGTCGTATATAGTACAGCTCTATGTACCCCATACTTTTGCCTATTAAATATAAAATAAAACTTGATTTGGGAAATTTTCTTTCACTGAGCGTCCCTTTTGTGAAACAGAACGAAAAGGCATTTTAAATGATGATTTGACGACCACCGCTGAGACGAATCCGCTGCGAAGCTTAATGGTTGAAATGTGCCGCATAACACATAATTTAAAGGTGAACACAAATTTGAATATCGGGTCAAATTACACATCAATCATTCATTACAGATAATAGCGACAAAGCAATATGAAGAACAAAGACGGTGAATTGACCTGAAGCTTTATATTCAATTAAAAAAGTTTGGAACGCATCGGTTTTTCTTCAGTTTCTGGTGTCCCAAACTCTTTTACGAATTAAATGTTCGTGTATTTATTACCACATAATGATAATCGCCACTGCTATGTTGTTGGCCAAAGACTCATACTTTTTGCGTTCTTTTTGTTCAACACGTTTATGCTTTGAGAATTGTACTAACAGGGTTTGTTTTTGTCAGGTCTGTGTTTCAATGTCGGTAAAAAAAATGTGTACAGTAGGTAAATTTCAACTTAGGCTGAGGACTGGATGTCTGTAGAACCCGCTTTTCCATGTACACGATATTTCCCTGTCTCTCTTCTGTCACATCGGTCTATTTTTAGCGCACAGTCAGACGACGTCAACCAGAAGACCGTATTTAATCTCGCAATGACTTGCGTTCCATTGATACCCCCTTCACGTCCACCAAAAAACAGACTGCATTGTAAACAGCATCGAAGTCTCCCTTCGAGGTCCTTTTTTTCAACCAGAAGGCTTCACTGATGCGAAACATTTATGGTTTCACTAAATCCCACCAGGCGGAAGATTTTAAGTATCCATGGTATACGACATCGAATCCATAGGCTAGTTCGCGCTGGCAAAGTTAACCATAATTACGTATAAGCTTCCTCCGACCGCGTGCAAGGCCAGAGCTCGTGAGGTAACAACTTCGCTTAGCTGTCTGTTCAATACAAGATCCCGAGCTGAGGATTCAGCAGAGATTTAACAGACTTGGTTAGAAATTTAACATACTTTTTCGTCTTCGATTGCTGCGTTCGTCCTTGTCCCTGTGGGCTTAAGCCTGGCGCATCAAAGAGCGGTCTTTTGATGTCTGTACCCTCGAACTGTTGACAATGGAAAGGACAGCTAATTATTTGGCATTTGTACTTTTCCCAGGTAGGTCAATCTAGGATATTCATATATGGTATAGTAGCCCTTTTATTTAAGTTTTGCAGATTGGTTTTTCTTTTTCGAATTACTTTTTATTATATCATATGCTAAGGGATACGTTTCCCTATTTGGTCGGACAGCGAGATTGTTTCAAAAAATGCTGCAAAATAGGATGACATTTTTATTCTTTAATTTGTCTTTTTCCTAGCATATGCATACCCACAGTTAGACGCGCTTTACAGTGTAGTTAAATATGATGCTTAAATTTTCGATTAGCAGATTAACTCAATACAAAAATATAGGGAAATATGTACGTTATGCATCAATTTATAGTGAAATGTTAATAAATAATGATAATTGATTAAAATGTTTAAAGAAAAAAAAAACAAAGATCAATCCAGCAGGTTGTAATGTAGTTGTGAGTAATTCAACAGTTATTGCCCGTCAGGTCACACCCAGTGACTGGTGAAATATTTTACTTTAAAAGTCCATGGTCTGTGCAAAGTACAGAAGGCTAACTCATTCCTACCGAAAAGGGTATTTTATTTCTTAAACTATAAAACACCGGTACACCATGATGTGTGCTTCCTCAGATTAACCCAAGTGTTCAGCACGGGTTATCTAAAACGAAACCCAGAGCAATAAAACCACTTGGTATTTGTGGCAATTTTTCCCAGTGCATTCAGTGATAATATCTGTCTCGGGTAGTTCCAGTGCGCAGTGAAAGGTTCCTAGGATGATCGATCACGAATCTATCAGTTTGAGGCAGCACGGGGAAAATTACATGTAATAATTAAGACAAATTCGTCATTTTATTAATGAAATGTGCACTAGCATAAACAAGATTTCCATTCGCCGTTTCATCGTATTCTAAATTATGTTTACTACACCATAATAAATATGCGAGATATAAATGATATAAATCGTATATGTTCATCAAAGGCCCTTGCGCAATTAACTTTTTTCTTGCTCTTCGTAAAATTGTGTCTTAATCTATTTGAGGTTTCCCCAAAGTGTCCTAAGAAAGCCGTCTCATAGCATTACTAATACAGAAAACAGATATATAGTAAAAAGCGCTCTTCGACGCCGGAGTAATCGTCAGCACCGGCAATATGATTACAATAATGGAATAGAAAGTTCTACTAACTCGTTTTCGGTTGAATTTGTGACATGCTCAACACTGACATTTGAATGAAGAGCAATACGCCGTCTTTTTATGTTCTTCTTTTTTATGTACAAAGAAAGCTTTAAATTAGATTTGGAATTCATTATTTGTTTTTTTTTTCATCTTTCGCTTATATCTTATCATCATCAGAAAAGCTGAAAGAAGACTAGATGGATGATAACATACTAGTAGGATCATGCACTTACCCAATAGAAAAAACAAAGACTCCATAATAATATTTATTGCATAAGCTCTCTCTCTCTCTCTCTCTCTCTCTCTCTCTCCACCCACACACACACACACACACACACACACACACTGGTAATTGGTTACACTGGTTCCGCCTTAGTTAATAACTGTCGAGTGATGACATTACAGAAAATTGTCCCTAAAAGGCTGCAACATATGTTCGGCGCGTGTTTCAGTTGACTAAAACCAGTCTTTGAAATGCCAAGGTCAAGTGTAATTAGATTTCTTCAAGCATCACGCCTTTAATCATCTTCCAATCTTCCAACTATTGAAGACCGTCGGAAATATGTATTTGTTCCATTTGCAGGTGTTTAATCTACTATTGACTTGAAGACAAACCATCAGGACTTTATCGTTTTAGTGTGCAATAAAAATCGCCAGGGTTAGGCCCTTTGGCCCGGTTAGGTTAGGTTCGAAATGGCCATGGACGGAGTGATATTAAATAATTTTATGTTTTAAGATTATAACTACTTCAACACAGTGATGAGTGTTGCAGGCTACATTTGTATCAAACGCGAAGTAATGTTTGTGATGAAAAGTTAATTGTTTTCTTTTACTTCGATCCCAAAGAAGCTTTTCAAGTGTTATGGCGTAATGTTTTTACATGTTGCATGTTTTCCAGGGCCGACATAGATTAAGATGGAAAAAATAGACAAAAAATGTCTTGCAGTGTATCTGCTTTATGAACTGAAAATACCGCGCCACAAGAGAGAAGAAGTGGGCTGAGTTTATTAAGATTATATTTCCTCGTTTGTGAGATTGAAATTGTTGTCTCGGTGGTTGTTATCATTTTGTTAAGGATACCAGGTTTTGCTTTCGTCAATGAAAGACAACGCCGTGTTAAGCCTAGGTCCCAATTACGTTTTGGACGCACGGTTTTTAGGTTCCTTGCGTCCGGCTAGGACGTAGCTACATGTAGATCGCACGTCGCGGCTGTTGATCATGTCGAAAAGTTTCTACGTGCTATTTGCGTCCTCCCAAATGTCGCACGATGGACGTGCTCCTCACGCACGAACTCCCACGTTTCCCCATTTTTTTGGCCGTAGACCACACGTAGCAGCCCGTACGTTCGGTTGGGACCTAGGCTTTAAACTGTACTGGTACCTGCGTGTGCATGAATGCTACGATAGATTTGATCAACCAAGTAGCACTCCGGTTAACGTTTCTCTCCACCAACCCTTTTCATACTTCTTTCTCCGCCTAGACAAAAAGATAACAGATTAGGAGCCAGTCTGTCCAAGACCTGTTCCTTTTCTTGATCCGTGAAAATACGGTGAAGTGTTTAATTGGAAAAGCATATTCTGGAGGTTTTGGTAGAGCGGTGAAAGTGTTATCGACAAACCTGCATCAATGCACACAAGATTCATTTCCTTTTTTGACACTATTCTTGGTAAGAAAGAAATATTTTACACGAGTTTGTCATGCACTTTATTAATTGTATCAAAAAGATTTATCGTCAAGCACCATCACTTTAAGTGGATTTGTTACGCCCCAATGAAGGTCGTTTTCTCGAATAACATGCATGGACAAGCGCAACACAGCAATAGAATTTGACATTGAACACCTTAACGCGGCTGCTAGAATCTTAATACGCAATGTTGATACTCTAACGTACACAGCAACTGATGACGAATGAAATGTCTCCATGGTAATAATGTGTGACGTATGCGACATGACTGCTAGGCCTACTTATACAAAAAATCACCAGTTCCATGCACTAACACTGACACTGCTATACGAATACAAAAATACGAAAATGCACATTTACCTTAATCTTATGGTAATGACTAAGAAAATACAAAACAGTAGAAATCCCAAATAGCTTATATCTTAATATAATCGTATAAAAGGTACGGCCATCAGCTGCGAGCTTATTTATACTGTTATCATAAACAGGATGATACTATTGTTTATCTTTTCTACACTCTGCAACCTGTCATTTGACTGTCTTATTATCCGGTAAACCTTGCTTACCACAGGTTGTCAAATGACTAACAAAATAGGATGTTCCAGAGGCCAGCTGAGTGATGACGTCATTTGTGCAAATTTCTCGCAGGAGAATAGGGATATGTGCAGAGAATTTGCCAAAGAAATAATTGTGCTACTGTAAATCTAGTAAAAAAATATCTTTCTGTGGACCTCGTAGAAGTTAGTCCGGATGGGTGTCTGTGACGTCACTCAAGAGGCCATTGCATCACAACTGCAGTTCAGAAATACGACATGTAGCTCTAGAATGCCCTATTACACTGGTCATACTTATTTTAGCCACTGAATAACCCCCAAATGTATGTAATTGGTTTTCAAGCGACAGAAACGGGCAGATCGGATTAATCATGTGCTGCTCTAAATCAGGGAACCAAGATTGAAATAACATACCTTTTTAACCAAGTGTCAGACATGCATTTTATGATTTTTTACCTGTTTGTAGAATTACACTGAAAATATGTAGGCCCTACTTTTATCATTGAGACTGTCGCCAGGGCACGACCTCTATTGCTGTTACGCACAAACCTGCTAACGAGCTACTAGTACAAATCGCACGATGGAAATGATATATCGACGACGCCATTAATATCTTCAGATAGGAAACAAAATCAATGTTTTCATAACATCGATGTGACATTAATCTAGGTCTACGGTATGTGGGAAATCTCCTTGGTGCTCATTATTTCTTTGAAGTAGCATAAAAGCACTGTTTTTTTTTATTCAAAGGTAAATCTACTCCATGACACCGTCTTACCACTATCAGACCGAATAAGATAACAAAATAACGTGTCTAGCAAACTAGCTATAACCTGTCATGAAAAATTAGACTGGGTCATTTCAAATCGTAGTTTGTCTCTTAATTTAATTTTGCTCAAGTCCGTCCTTAACAAGAAGAAACCAGTGTCAAGAACAATCTTACAGACTGTTGTATGTTTCTCTCACATTTGAAATGTTGTTGTGTTTTAAATATGCGTTTCTAGTAAAAAAAACTCATCTGAACAATAACTTGTGTTCACATAATTGACAAAATTTTATAAATTAAAATACACTCAAACACGAGAAAGAACTCGGTCGTCTCTTATTCTAAGGGTATACACAACTCAAAAACATCACAATTTTTTTTTTTTTTTTTTTTTTTTTGGATTGCAGGCTTTAGATAGAGTCGTTTATTCCCTTAAGAGTTTTGACTGAAACAGCAAAATTTTAAAGAAAGGAGGCAACCTAACAGGATTTTCCCAGAAAACTGAGCAAAAAGAACAAGATAAATGTAGCATCACTTGACATGCTTTCGGTTAGAGTGTAATAAAGATATAAATTGTAGAAACTATAAGTATGTTCTTCTAATGTGACCTTTAAGGCTATCGATTTTTGGTGTGTGGAAGTAAGAGATAAATGTCGTCACTTTACCTAGCTGCTAAGCTATTTTGATCCTTACGTTTTCTTTGTCTGCAACAACTCTGATAAGCACATGGTAGTTACTAACTCAGTTATATATAGGCGCCCCAAATGAGGGTTGTTAGCTAAAGCACCCTATTTGATCTTTAAAATGATATAATCTTTTTAGATCGCTAACAACATATTTGTTAAATATTCATATTATTATTTA